TGTGTACTCTTCGCTGTATGCTTATTGTGTACTAACGATGGACTTAGTCCACATTTTCAGTGAGTCTTTACAATAGCCCTGGAGTTTGGCATAAAATTACCCACTTGAGGGCTGGGAAGGTGGCTCAGTGGTAGAGTGCTTGCCTTGCATGCATGAAGCTCTAGGTTCGATTCCTCAGCACCACATTAGCAGAAAAAGCCAGAGGTGGCGCTGTGGCTCAAGTGGTAGAGTGCTAGCTTTGAGCTGAAGAGCCTAGGTCCAGAGTTCAGGCTCACAACCGACAAAAAATAAAATAAAATAACAAAAGAATTACCCACTTGTTACAGATGAGGAAACAGAGGCATGAGAAAGTGAAGTACTGCCCAATCTGACAGTTATAAATGGTAGAGACAGGATTTGCCAAAGCTGGAGAGGAAAATCAATGATTATGGTATATAAATAAGGAAAACGAGCTGTCATTTGGCTACCTGCTAAGTGTTTGATGTTTATTATCTCTATTTCTTGGAGTTAGTCTTACAAGCAACTCTTTATAGCTGAGACAATGGTGAGCCAGACAGGTTTAGTAAATCGCCAAGGGTCCCATAGTAGAAGGGGGCAAGCCTGGGATTAGAGCCAGCCGGGCTGGTTTCATAGGCTCTTAATCTTAGTGTCAGCCACCATCTTTGTGAATTAAAGTCCTACCTTAGACTGATCCAAGGGAGCTAGTGACGCCGTTTGTCAGTTCTCCTGAGTTCTGGGAACCTCCACATCATTCAGCACTTAGCACCCTGCTAATTGTTCAAGGCAGACCACATCCCACCTCTCTCCTGCTTGCTGGCCTCCGAGGCCTGCTGCTCTGGTTGGACCCATGGTGTGATGGCCTGGCATTATTCTGCTCTGCAAGGCCCCAGGGGCCTCCCTGCCTCTCCCTGTTTCCCTGCCACAGGGAAGCTGGGTCAGCTTGGCCTGTCTCCTGTCAGCTCCTGAGATGGTGAAAGGCGAACCCATCGGCTCGGCTACGGACATCTGGGGAGCAGGCGTGCTTACCTATATCATGTGAGTGTCTGGCCAGGCTTCAGCTGCCTCCCCAGCCACAGGACCACAGGGTGGCCCTGTTCACGAACTGACCCTCAGTCTATTAAGGTAGAGAGCTAGTGAGTGGGAAGCTGGGACTGTGTCAACTGTGTCAATTAAACTGTCTTCCACAACAGGCTCAGTGGGCACTCCCCATTCTATGAGCCAGAACCCCAGGAAACGGAGGCTCGGATTGTGGGGGGCCGCTTTGATGCCTTCCAGCTGTACCCTAACACTTCCCAGAGTGCCACCCTCTTCTTGCGAAAGGTCCTCTCCGTGCATCCCTGGTGAGTAGGTCCCTACCTGCCGCTGTTTGCAGGTTGCACTGCTACCTTTCCCCCATTGCCCCTACTCTAATAATATATGGCTGCTGCTTCTACTGCACAGCCACTCTAGCTGCCACTGCACATGGTAGTGGCTCAGGTCTGGGATATGGGTCTGGAGCCTGTTCCCTATGGGAAACTTCTGTCCTGGCTCACCTTGCCTGGCTTCCTCTGGCAGGAGCCGGCCCTCCCTGCAGGACTGCCTGGCCCACCCCTGGCTACAGGATGCCTACCTGATGAAGCTGCGTCGGCAGACGCTCACCTTTACCACCAACCGGCTCAAAGAGTTCCTGGGTGAGCAGAGGCGTCGCAGGGCTGAGACTGCCACCCGCCACAAGGTGCTGCTCCGCTCCTATCCTGGCAGCCCCTAGTGGCATGGACCACAGCCGAGCTGCGGGCTCCAACTCCGGTTCCCACTGATGCCGCCACCGCTGCCAAGGGACATTCCAGGACCCACGCTGAGTCGGTGGGCCTGGGGCTTCAGCTATCACCAGCAGCAACATCTGGCCAGGCTATACCTCATGGAGCTGAGGGGATGAGGCCCCAGGACTTCTACCTGCTGTCCCCCTCCCCGCCCCACCAGAGCCAGAGCACAGGACCCATCAGCCAGGCTGGGCAGGGGTGGGAACAGGAAAAGGAGTGAGAAGGGAATAGGGAAATGATGAGGAAAAGATACAGAGAGACAGGAAGGGGGAGACTGAAGGAAGGTTCTGGAGGTGGGGGCATGGTGCATCTCAGGGAGAGCCCAGGAAGGTGAAGGAAACAGGACAGCGAGCTGGCAGCGAGCGTTGGCGAGGCAGTGACAAGACATGGGGACAGTGCCAGGGAACGAGAGCCAGGACACGAGAGAGGGCAGCAGGTAGGAAAAGGGGGACAGCAGGTTCAGGAGATGAGGGATGGGCCAGCAGCTGCATCCCAGCAGGAGAACAGAGAGCAGAAGAGAGCCGTAGGCCAGTGGCTGGATTTTTCCTCCTGTCCCAGTGGGGTACAGCTCTGGGCACTCTCTGTTAGCCCAAAGATGTACCCACCACTTCTCCATTGGCCTTTACCCTTCATCCTATTCTTATTTATTTATTTATTGACTTTTATGAAGTTTTCCCCTTCCATCTAAACCCAATTGCCCATGTTGTCCTGACCACCACCACCACCAATACCCTCTCCCCTCCCCCAGCCATCCAGCTGTTCCGTGCAGCTCTCTGTGTGTCTGTCATAAAGAAAATAAAAACAGACAAGCAAGCAGCAGGGCCTGTGTGGCTCTCTTTGGAAGGGCTGGGTGGTAGGGAGTACGAATCCTGGGATGGGGCATTTGGCCTTTCCTGGGCAATGAAGGCATGTTGGAAGGTGTATCTGCTAACCCCTCTCCTTTCCCTGAGCCTCAGATCCTTCATCCCTTATTTCTAGAAGAAAGGGAAAATGTGCTCTGTTTCTCGCCCTGCAGTTCTTGGAATGCTGGCAGTCCTACTGGATCCCCACCATCACCCTCTAACCAAACTAGACTCTGGTAACCTCCACTCCTGCTCACCTGCTCCTTCATAGCAACTGAGGGCTGCTGGGCTCTGGAATGGGCCAGCCTATGCTTCTCTCTAGTCTCAGCTTCCTTCACTCTGATCCTGTACATAGGGGCAGAAAGGTTTCACCCTGAGAGAAGGAAGTGAAGACCTACAGAAGAAACCAGGACAAGTCAAAGGCCCAGGCTCTTGGAGTTGGAGTTTAGAACAAAGCACACAGAGCATCTGTGAGGGCTTAGGACATCTGTGTCCAGCATTTTCACAGTGCTGTTGGACGCATCTCACTGATCTTGTCCTTGTGTCAAGTTAGGGATCTTCTGGGTGCCAAGGGCACTCCCATGCAAAGCCACAAAATAGTCACTGGGTACTGGAACTAAGCTGAGGTGAAGGGCAAAGAGGAACCTTGGTTTCCTGTGTCCAGGGGGATGGTTCCCTCCCTTGATAACTCTGCTCTTGGCAAAGTACAAAGAACAACGCCTCCGGCCATGAGCAGAGAGTGTTGGCACTGGTGTGTTGTCAATTGAGTTTGAGAGCCCCTTGGCTCCAGCTCCAACCGCCCTTTGCCCAATACAGCCCAGCCTCTCCAGCTTCCCAGTACTCCAGGGAAGAGGCAAACCCCATCATCATAAAATAGTAGGATGTGAAAGCCAGCTGGAAGCGGTGAGAGAGACACCTTCCCCACCTGTCATTTTAGCAATGAAGACATACAGTTCGCCTGTGAGAATCTCCAATCCCCTACACACTGCAAATGTTTTTGTATAAAAATGAGGTGCCTGGACTCATATCTTGATAAATGGTAAAATTCCTCTCTTGTCCCCCCTTTGATCTGGAGCTCCCTTCCCATCTCCATTGGAAATGGCATATGAACTGCTTATTCTAAACCCGGAGGAGCAAAGGTAATTTATGTCAGCAGAGCAGTGTCAAGATTGTTCTAATCAAAAGGTGACAGCGCTCCATACCTGCGTAAGTAGTTACAGTAAATGGTAGCCATGCTCTGCCTTGTGCCCTGGCCTGGCTAGACTGGACTCCAGTCAATCCCTGAGGGGTTAACAGAATCCCTTCCCCCAGGTGATTTTATGCCCCTCTGAGGCAGTTTATCTTCCAAAATGGCTTGGGCAAACCTAGGTTAGTAGTAGTGCTAATCTTCAGGGACAAAGCAAACCAGCAAGACCCTCCCCTGTCATACAGAATAGAGTGAACAGGAGTGAGAATATCATCAAAGGGGCATTTATATATGAGAGGGGGGGGAGAGAGAGAGAGAGGGAGAGAGAGAGAGAGAGAGAGAGAGAGAGAGAGAGAGAGAGAGAGAGTTGTGTGTGTGTGTCCAATCTCCTTTAGATTTACATCAATTTACCACCAGGGGGCACAGTGCAGAACCATCAGCCATAAACTCCTGGATTGTAAGGGTGGGTATTGAGAAAGAGTAAGGTGATTGGCATTGGTTTTGTCAGCCTTGGTCCTGTCATGGTTGGCTATATGGACCATAAAGTCCAAGCCTTCTCTGGTTTAATTCAGGGACACCTCCACAAACAGTTGTACCCCCCCCCTCAGCAACAACATCTGGGAAAAGGCATGTTGTCTGATTGCCTACAGTTTGACCTGCACATAAAGCGGCTCCAGCACTGAGTTGTCTTATCTTGAAGCTATGCCTGGTCCACAGACATAGGGGACCACATCCAGCCGTCCAGCCGTCTGAGTGCTGACTCACAGTATACCCCAGAACCACTCTCGTTTCACCCTTGGGCCTGCATCAGTGGCTGAGCCAGCATCCCAGACATCCTAAGGCTATATAAGGAGCCCACTTGAGTCAGGGGGCAGAGGCTGGGGTCCCAAGGAGCTTAGGGGCAACTAGGCCAAACAAGGCAAGGAAGAGAACAATGTATAAAACCAGGGACAGAAGCTGATGGCCTGACTGCCCTCCTGCTGTGTTACCCAGGAGAGCTCTGTGCTTGCTTGAATCCAACCAGTCAGCAGAAATCCTGAAGGCAAGCCCAGTAGGATGAGTCTGTTCCTCAGAGGTGTGTTTGCATCTCCCAAACCCTATCCTTACTCAGGATATCTTAATTAGACAGGGAAAGGGTTGAAGGTCAGAGGCTGTGTCTCAGCCTGAATCTAGATGTCCAAAGCAGCACGTGCCAAGAAACCAGCAGCACCACTTCCAGGATGCACCCTGGATATCAATGACCCGCAGGTCCAGAGTGCTGTTATTCTCATCCAGGCCTCTTACAGGGGCCTCAGGTGAGCGGGGACCCCTGAAGCCCTTGAGAGGAAGGGAGATGGAACTGTGGAAAACACATTCCTGAGGGATGGCCAGCTCAATGAAGAGCAGCCTGGGCTAGGACATGGAGTCAGTGTCACCAACCACTAGGATCGTTGGCCTTAGGAAAGTGCAGTCACTGAGGTGCAGAAAGGACTGTCGAGAGAGGGTCTTTCTAGTAGGATGACAGTTCAGGGTCAACCCCCTTTCTACACATCCCTACACATTTCCCTATTTAGAGATGGTCCAAAGGGGGTGGGCAGGCTAGAGCCATGCATGTCACTCATCCCTGGTCCCCGACCTGGCTCGTGGGTAGGTCTCAGAAGGAACTGCGTGAGAAGGGACCCCCGAGGGTGCTCTAGCCGCTGATCCAGGGCAGCGCAGTCAAGCTGATATGTGCTTCCCAGACCCCCTTCACCTGCTGGAGCAAAGATGGCAAGGACTATGCAATGGGTACAAGTACCACAACGTCTTCGAGGACTGTGGCATTGGTGGGCAGACAGACCTGGGCCAGTACAGCATCAACGTACCCAACCCCTTCGGCCAGTGCTCCCACTGGGCGCGCATCCTCGTGGGAGGCAGGTGCGGGGGGGGGGGCCACTCGGGGTCCGGTGGAGCACAGCCCCCCAGACGCAGCCCGGTGCGCCTCGCTACGCTGCCAGGGCTCTTCCTTCCCTATGGCCTCACCCAGCCCCAGAAGTCAGCTGTGGGCTTAGATCACATGACTCCAGGGCTCCAAGGTCGCAGAGCAAGACAGAAGCACAGCCAGGGGTACAACTGGTACAGCTAGGCAATTTCCATTGCTTGTCTCCAAGGCACCTGGAGGCGTGGAAACATTCCCGGGCGTCTAGCTCTTTTGATCTTCTATGCATCCCCGCGGAAGTAAGAAGGGGCAGGGAATGCGTCTCGTTTAATAGCTAAGGAGATGAAACTAGAAAGGCTTAATAATTTGTACAATATCGTATTACAAGCCCAAATGCACTTTGTATTTGGGGCAAAATATTCGCTGGGGAGGTGATGCCCCTAAAGCCCCTCACTGGGTGGCTCTCCCCACCCCCCCACCCCCACCCCTTTGTCTAGTCCTGGCCAAGGTTCATAGGGGACCCGACAACACCCACCCAGGTCTGCGAAGGCACCACGGCCACGGACACAGGCACGCTGACTTTGGAGATCCTGGGTGAGCCTCCACCCGACGTGGGCTGATGCAAGGACGGACAGGACATGGAGGAGGACGACAGGCCAGGGCCAGGACTTCAGCCAGGGCGGGGCTTGGGGCTAGAACGTGGGTGGTACTGTGCCCAGAAACCCTGAGAGAAAGCAATGAGACAACTGGGCGGCAAAGAACAGAGCTGGTTCATTAGCTTGGTCCAGTGCACTGTGCTCTCTACCCTCCCCCCGCCCCTCCCATCTCGGGTCTAGGGTATTCTTCGAGATCGCCACCACTCTGGCCACTAGCCGGCCACGACCCCAGGACAGCCACAAGTACGAGGTGCACGTGGAGAACAGCCTGGCATGGACCAGAGCTTTGCTCGTGTGGACGTGGCCTGAAAGGCACCGCCAGACCTTTCGCTCTTGCTTCAAGCTCAGGGGCCCGGGGGATCGACAGCCCTTGGATCTTCATTAGTAAAGCTGCTCTCTGATTTTGTTTTTAAATTTATTTTGCCTCTCTTCTGTTCCTTTGTATCGCCATTTCTTCTCCCCGGCACCTACCCCTTACACTTATTCCAAACCTACAGGCCAAGATCATAGACTATTAGAGTCAAAGGGAGTCTGGAGAGCATTCCTAATCCAGTGCTTCGTGTGTGTGTGTGTGTGTGTGTGTGTGTGTGTGTGTGTGTGTGTGTGTGTGTGTGTGTGTGTGTGTGTGTGTGTTTAATTGGAGATGAGAATCTCATGGTCTTGCCTGGCCGGGGTGGCTTTGAACCATGATCCTCAGATCGCAGCCTCCTGAGTAACTAGGGTTACAGGTATGAGCCACTCGCATCGGGCCCCAGTGTTTCATTTTTACAAATAGAAAATCCGAAATAGGATTTCTCTTAAAGTCAGACTTCCCTAGTGGGACCCGCAGGGGAATTATGACCCTGCCTTATCTTTTGCTTAGTTTAGGTCCCACCCTGTCCTGGCTCTTTGATCTTGGTTCCCGCCTCTTCCAAGGCAAGTTACAGCCTGTCCTCTTCAGTCCTGTTTCCCTTGTGACCTAGTTCTCCCCCGAGCTCATTCCTGGACAGCAAGAGTCTCAGTCTAAGGGACTGCTTAAGCCAGCTTCTAAGCCCCATCCTTTTTTCCATAGAGGCCCGCCCCCTCTCGCCCTTTGCCGCGCCCCTAGCTTCCACCACTGCTTTCCCCTAGTGTCTGGTAAAAGTTGGAAAGAGAGTGGGCTCTTCAGAACTACAATTCCCGGCAGGCCCTGCGAACAGATCTCGCGAGCTACGAGAAGACACGTGCGCGGAAGGAGAAAGCAGTGGCAGGCGGCAGAGCCGGAATAAAGGGAGTTTAGTGGTAAAGGGACCTGGCGGAGGGGCGGCGGGAGGCGTGGGAGCGGCGGAGCGCCCCTAGTTCGGGGCGAGCTCTGAGGTCACGGTTGGCGTTCTGTGCGCCGGTATTTGTGTTCGTCTCATCACACCTGGCTACGAGAGACTAATGTTTATTGGATGGGATCAGTGGTGGGGTTCAGAGGGTCAGCCGTCAATCCGCATCCGGGGATTCAGTTCCAGACACGATTGGGGCTCCAGGGGTAGTAGGTTTAGTGTTTGAGATGCTAAGATAACCTGTCTCTTGGCAGTTCCACATAGTGATTTTAGGATCTGGAGACTGTCTTGCTAGAACTGGAGTTCATCAAGTGCATATCAGTGTTCAATAGTTGGGGTTCACGTTCAGAACTGAAATTAGATATCTGGGTCCTAGCCTAGGTGTGCAATTCCTGTTGGAATACAGAGTTGAACATCTAGCAAGAGTCTTGGAGAAGGAAGTTTCCGGTTTTTGAGGTTTGGGGTCTGAGAAAGGAGAGGGTGATCTGCTGACTTTCCAAATTTGCAGGATTGGTTCAGGGCCCAAATTGTGAGGTGTGGGTTTTAGAATTTGGGCAGAATCACTGTGAGTTGTCAAGACCAGCTGGATGATGATGGGTTGGGATTTGAGATGTTAAATTTCTGTGGTGTTGTATCCAGTGATGGGACTCCATTGAACTCTGGGTGTGTTTATATCTTGGGAACCAGGGCTAACTGTTGGTATTTGGGGTTTGTTTTGGAGTGTGAAATCTGAGCCTAATTTTTCTGTTGGGGCTTGAAGTTTAGGTAGTTCACCATCATGCTCAAAGCTGTGATCCTGATTGGAGGTCCTCAAAAGGGTGAGGAGCTAGGAGGCCAGGGTTGGGCAGGAATGGTTGGTGGGTTGGGGGATAGAGGGAGGCAGGAGGCTGAAATGTTCTGTCCTCTCCTAGGCACTCGCTTCAGGCCATTGTCTTTTGAAGTACCCAAACCACTGTTTCCTGTGGCGGGGGTCCCTATGATCCAGCACCACATTGAGGCTTGTGCCCAGGTAACCTCACAGGCTCCCCTCTCTACCACCCTTACTTCTCATCTCGTCATGCTGTATTTCCCCCTTTCCCAACCATGATCTCTTCCCATCAGGTCTAACCATCATTCATAGATATGAATGACAATCTTTCAAATTGTTCACAGCTGCCTTGCTGTTTTGGCCTCTTCCTGCTTCAGATTTCATGCCTGTTTTAAAATAGGGAATATAAAGGGATCTTAGAGACAATTTAAAGCCAGAGCAGGGGGACCCTCAGTGATACTAAAGCTCAGAATTCATCCTCTCGCTCACCGTGGGACAGCAAGGTTTTGGTTTTGAATCCAGGCTGTCCCTGCTGTGAGACCTAGAGCAAGTGAACTTCACATCCTCCCTGAGCTTTGGCTTCCTTATCTATCGAGTAGAGATTAGACCTTTGTGAGGTGACAGAAGCTGTAAAGTGCCTAGTTCAATGCAGGCCCTTGATAAGTGATGCCCTTACCTCACCTTGGTATCAAGCATTGCCTCCCAGATAAGAAAAGGAGAGAAAAGATGCATGGATTTTACTTTGATGTAGCTTGGTAGCCAAAGTCTTTTCTAGAGTCCCAGTTCAAGTAGGGCAGGGAATATAAAAGATGGGAAGATCTGGGCAGAGATTTCTCTAGCTTCCTTATTATCCAGAGTTAAAGCAGGCCTGAATTTTATATGATTGCCCAGGGGCTCCCAGCTGAAGCTAAAACTGTAGCCTCTGGACTTCTGGGTCAGCCCAGGGATCTCTCCATCACTCCTCCTATCGGATATTTTCTTTCTCAACCTCTTCCTTTGTCCTCAGGTCCCTGGGATGCAGGAGATTCTGCTCATTGGCTTTTACCAACCTGATGAGGCCCTTACCCAGTTCCTAGAAACTGCTCAGCAGGAGTTTAACCTTCCAGTCAGGTGTTTGTTACACATATATATGGGGGTAGAGGGAAACTGGGGCTGAGTTCATGAGAATGGGTTGAGTCTAGTATGCAAGGCAGAGTTTACCCTCACATATTAGAATCCCTTGATTTATTGAGCTTCTTTGTGAGACTTAAGCCAGGAGTTCACTGGGAGATGGCGTGTGTATCAGGGGCTCTAGCTCACTGGATCTAATTCAGTTGTCTCTGGGAACAGATACCTCCAGGAATTTGCCCCCCTGGGCACAGGGGGTGGTCTGTATCATTTTCGGGACCAGATCCTGGCTGGCGGCCCTGAAGCATTCTTCGTGCTCAATGCTGATGTTTGCTCTGACTTCCCCTTGAGTGCTATGTTGGATGCCCACAGACGCCAGCGCCACCCTTTCTTACTCCTTGGTACTACGGTAAGGGCGCTGGGAAGGACGGAGGGTGTGTCACAGGCAGAGGCTTCCCTGTGCTGGAAGTGGGAACGTGTGTTGGGAGGAAGATGTACTGCCCTAGCAGTAACAGAAGTGTCATTGGCAACCCTGTGCCCTTTGGCTGCTCAGAAGCAGGGGGGGGGGGCAGCTGTCAGCTCTCTCCCATGCTGAAGGCTTGTCAGCGGCAGAGCTGCGTGCCAGGTGCTGTAGGGGAGGGAAAGAAAGAAGAAAACAGCCCTGACTACCCCTGGAGCAGGCTGGTCACTGTCTGGGGTGAATCTGTCTTTCAGGCTAACAGGACACAGTCCCTCAACTACGGCTGCATCGTTGAAAATCCACAGACACATGAGGTGAGAGCAGAGAGGGGGCTGGGTGGGGGCCTACTCTGGATCATTACCTCTCACTTCCTACCTCTAGAGGATGCTGGGATATGGTGAGCTGGGCCCCAGTCTTGTCAAATGGGTGTGACAGATCCCTGATTAATCATCATGTAGCCCTTTAAGAGAGGATAGCAGAGGGAAAGGGGTGACAGTTCATTTCTGAAGGTGTGGCGCTATAATAAATGTATGCACAGGGTGTTACGGCACACATAAAGGAGGCCCAGCAGAGCTGTGCCTGGGGGACGAGGGTCCTTCAGGAATTGAGGCCTGAGCTGCGTTAGATTTGTCTAAATGAATAAGGAGTCAGGAAGGCACTGCAGGCGGTGGGAACAGCATGTGCAAAGACCGAGGAAAGAACAGCATTTCTTTTGGAAATGGTATAGTATGCCTGGTGCCAGCCCTGGACAGCAAACTCAGGCAGGCAAGAGAAGATTCAAGGAGAGAGCTGTATCAGCTGGGTTTTGAAAGGTGGGTTTTTCAGAGGAAGAGGGAGGGCAGGGCATTCCAGCCAGGCTCAGGTGTATATGGCCTGAACACTATGCTTTCTTAGTGATAGGAAGTAGGGAGGATGGAATGGAGGGAGGCATGGGGGTGGGACTTCCCTTGAAGGTGAAGATGAAGGGCAGTTATCTCAGGATGTAAAGCCGGTTAGGGACAAGATGTTCGGTGCATTTTAAGAAATCCACCCTGCCAGGGAGGGAAGAGGGTCTTAAGGTACTGTAGCAGGTGGCAGTCCACTCCAGTACTCCAGCCCTCCCTCTCCTCAGGTCCTGCACTATGTGGAGAAACCCAGCACGTTCATTAGTGACATTATCAACTGCGGCATCTACCTCTTCTCCCCAGAAGCCCTGAAGCCTCTTCGTGATGTCTTCCAGCGGAATCAGCAGGATGGGCAACTGTGAGGCAGGCCCCATGACCCTGTAACCCCAGGCATCCCTGTCACACCATCCTGGCCCACGCCAGGTTCCATAGGCTCCGTCTCAACCTGCTCACCCTCCTCCTCCCTTTCTCCCATCTCTAGACTGCCTCATGAGTTCCTCCCATTCTAACCTCATTCTGTCCCTCTTCCTTAGCCCGCCCAGTTCCTCCTCTGTCATTGCCTGCCCACTCCCCTTCTGGTCCATTTCTCTCAAGCCCTGAGTATCCCAGAGACGATGTCTTTCAGAACAGACGGCAAACACACTTGAGTGCACACATGTTCGTGCGCGCACGCGCACACATGCACACACATTCTCAGGCTGGCTACCCTTGGAATGTAGCCCCAGAGCCTGCTTGCCAATTCCAGGGTCATTCCTCCCCCCAAGGCCTGAAAACTGTTACCTTCTAGGCAGGCTCCTCTGTCTCCATCCTCCCCCTCCTTCCCACCCATCCCCTGATGCACGCCTCATTTGCTCATAGCCATCTCTCACCCCATCATATCTCTCTCTCCATCTCTCCTGGCCTCTCTGTCTCTGTTTCTGCTGAACTGGCATCTCTACCATCTCTCTCTCCCTCTCTCTGTGACTGTCTCTGCCCTCACCAGCTGCCTTGCTCTGGGGTGAGTCTGTCTGTGTTTCATTCCATCCAGTTTTGGGGGAGGTGACTAGGGGGGGTAACTGGAGAGGAGGATGTGAAAATTGGGGGACCTTGCAGATACCAGGCAGGGATGCAAAGCCAGCCTAGGCCTGGGGCTCCCCCCTGAGGACAGCTGATGGAGGGGTGTGGAACAACCCTTTGTAGGGGACTTGGAGAGGTTGTGCGAGTCGTCTGGACTTCTTTAGGTTGGCCTCACATTCCGGCTCAACTAGGAAAACTGATGGCAAACCCTTTCTTTGCCAGAGAGGACTCGCCAGGCTCCTGGCCAGGGGCGGGAACTATCCGCCTGGAGCAGGACGTGTTCTCAGCCCTGGCTGGGCAGGGCCAGATCTATGTGCACCTCACTGATGGGATCTGGAGCCAGATCAAGTCTGCAGGGTATGTGGGCTGGAACACGGGGCACACCTGGGGGGCTGACACTGTACGGTGGTGACCCAGGCCCTGCTAGCTCCTTCCTGACCGCCGCATTTCCTTTTGGCTCTTAGCTCAGCCCTCTATGCCTCTCGCCTCTATCTGGACCGATACCAGATTACGCACCCAGAACGACTGGCCAAGCATACCCCAGGGGGTCCACGAATCCGAGGTACCCCCTTCTGCCCTGAGCCTGGACCCCTAACCTCAAGGTCCAGAGGCAGGGTGTCACTTCTTGCTTTTCCTCGTCTAGATATGGTCCTCTTTTCTGCTTCTAGGAAATGTTTATATCCACCCAACGGCTAAAGTGGCCCCATCTGCTGTGGTAAGCTGCGGGCCCAGCCTCAGACGGTAGGGGTGGCTGTTGGGATGAGGGTGCCCAGAGACCACCTGAGCTTGGGTGCTGGTCTTTGTTTTTGTCTCAGCTAGTTGTGTGGCCTCGAGCAGGTTGCCTCCGCCTTATCTGTTCTAGGAGGGGACTGGACTTGGGCTCCCCTAGGTCCTTCCAAGACTCACGGAGTGTGCTCCTCTCCATAGCTGGGCCCCAACGTCTCCATTGGGAAAGGGGTGACTGTGGGCGAGGGTGTGCGGCTCCGAGAGAGTATTGTCCTCCATGGAGCCACGTTACAGGTAGGTCCCAGACACACAATGGTGTGTGACACCCCAGAGACTGAGGGGAGGGGCTAGGTACCCCCCAGAATGGAGAACAGTAAACCTCTTAAGCTATGCCTCCAGATCCCACCCCACCCCACTCACCCCCACCATCTTGTTTGACAGGAACACACTTGCGTCTTGCACAGCATCGTGGGCTGGGGGAGCACCGTGGGGCGCTGGTCTCGTGTGGAGGGGACCCCCAATGACCCAAACCCCAATGACCCCCGAGCTCGTATGGACAGTGAGAGCCTCTTCAAGGATGGGAAGCTGTTGCCCGCCATCACCATCCTGGGTATGGCTTCTCGGGGGCTGGGGCTGGGATGTGCCACAGGTGATGCCTGGAGGTCTTCGGGGAGTTCAAGAGTGTGTGTGTGTGTGTGTGTGTGTGTGTTGTATATTTCCTCCTTTTTGCAAACATTCACCAAGTGCCTGCTGTGTGCCAGACCTGAGTGTGTCACTAGGTGCATAAGGCCAGGTGCCCGGATGGGCAGGGAGAGATTCCCTTCTGGATGGCTATGGTCCCCTAGTTCCCTGCCCCTGCCCCCTCCTATGAGTGACCTGCCCCTGCTGCCCTCATCCCCGCCACAGGCTGCCGTGTCCGGATCCCTGCGGAGGTGCTCATCCTGAACTCCATTGTTCTGCCACACAAGGAGCTGAGTCGCAGCTTCACCAACCAGATCATCCTTTGACTGGGGCTGCCGGAAGGCCCCCAACTCTTTTCCGCTTCTCTTTGAGGCTGCTGCTTGCTTGGCCAGCCTCTGTCCAGAAGAGAGCTGAGGAAGCCAGGGACGACGTGGGTGGCCAGGGACTCCTGGCTTCCCTCCCCAAATAAACCCCTCGTGAACCTCGAACCTCGGAGCCAGCACAGACTTTGCTTGTGCCTGGGCTGGGGGGTGGGGGCAGAAGGGAGACAGCTGAGTCAGGCCCCCCCACATTAGCATTTAAATTGGAGTCATTGCTGCGGGCTCATGAATAATGAATCTAGAGCCCTGGTAAGTCTCCCCCTCCCACGTCCTCAGCCTCTTGCTCTGCTCTAGAGGAAAGGCCCTCCAGGCTCCACAGCCTGCTGGCCCCTGCTGGCTGCCTCCCTGGCCCGGCCCCGGCTCCTTTAGGGTAGCTTTCTGAGGGAAGAGGGAGGATTTCAGCTGGGCCTGGAGCTGGACCCAGCAACCCATTCTCCTCAGCTCCTGCCGAGCCACAGCCCTGGCCCGTTTTCCGCCTTGCCAGCTCCATCTGCTCCCAGCCTGGCTCTTGGCGAGGTGGGGGTTCATCCCTGCCTGGGGCTTTGTGTCTCTGTCTCCTGCTTCCCTGGCAGAGGGGGTGGGTCTGAGATGATGCCAATGAGAAGAGAGTACTTGTTCTGGGAAGTGGGGGGGGGGGGGCCTTGGTCACCTCCCGACATCTGGTATTACCCTTGGTAGGTCTCAGCCCTCCTCTCCCTGCCCTCTTTCATGTTTGCCCATGACCCCCATGTGCCCCTTCCGTGCCCCCCTTTCCTCAGCTGTGGGTGCCGAGCTTAGTTGCCAGATGAGCTGGTAATGATCGTAATCTGCTAATTGAGAGGAATCTAATTACCCGAAGAGAATGGGGGGGGGGGGGTAGGGTGTGGGTAGGTGGGAGGGAGGAAGGTCCTGGCAGCAGGCTGGAGTGGCAGGCACTGGGTGCTGGGGTCTTGTTATCAGCACCAGAGTCTGGGACAGAGCCCAGGCTCTCCTAGCTTCCTAGGCAGGCATTTAGGAAGATACCTGCCTGAGACTGACCTGGAGGCCCGGCTCCACGTGACCTCCCCACCTCTTCAGGATCTAGGCGTTGTGTGAGAGCCATGCAGCATAGCCCAGGGTTTGAGCAGCACTGACCTGTTACCTGCCTCAGCTCCTTTTCCCCATGTTTCCTTTAGTCCGCATGGATCATCTCTGCCAGTAGGGAGCTGTCGAGGCCCACTCAGCCTGGGGTCACTTCCCCTAGGAAGGGTCTAGGAGAGAGGGGGCCAGGCCACAGAGCCAGGCTTTGCATCCCTTCCCTCTCCTCCCCTGTCCTGACCCTTCTGTTCCGAGTGGTTGGCAGAGGCCATGGCAGCTCCATCATAAATATGATAATTTAATTATTTTCTCAGCAAAACACCGTGAAATCCAATAAGTCTGTGTCAGGCCCTGGCCCCCGGGACCCCCCTCCCAGACCCAGTGGGGGTGGGGACATGGTGGGGAAAGGCAGTGGAAGAGGAAAGGGGTCAGTGTTGGGAGGGGGTGGCTGGGGAAGCCGAGGCCTTTGTAACACCCCAGAATGAGGGCAGCCACTGATGTGTGTGCCCCTTCAGCCCTTTTCTGAGCTGGAAGGGACCTGAAGCTCCATTCATAGCCAAGTGAGCAGCTCAGCACCCACGACAGAGCACCCTGCCTTTTTGTGCCACCTCTGGGACCTTGTATCCAGCTATCACTGGCCCTGTTGGGGTAGAGGAGTAGAAGGATGCTGGCCTGGGAGAAGATTTGGGGAGGGAGAAATGAAAGAGAACTGGTGTGTGTGGGGGGGGGAGTGGGGGGAGGAACCAGAAGAGGGATGCGGGGGAGGGGTGCGCTCCTGCCATTAGTGCTTTTTTCAGTTTCCATAAAAAGATCATTCTGTAAAATCGGCGAGGGGGAGTGAACTGGGGGGCCGGGAATGGGGGTGGGTCCCTGGCACCAGGCAGGATGGGGCGACAGGGGAGGAAGAGCTGGGGACAGGGACTGAGTGTGGAGAGAAATTTGGATGGGCTTCAAGCGCAAGCGGAGGGGAAGAGGCTGAGCCAAGAACACAGCCTTGGGGAAGGCGGGGAGGCTGGACCAGGCTGGGGTGGGGTGGGGCCGGGCTCCCATCCCAAGGCTCTAGTCCCACCTCCATCTCAGCCCCCTCCCTGTGGCACTTAGCAGCCATTATGGGGGGGAGCAGATTGCAGCCCCCTCCTCCTCTCAGGGAAGCAGGCACAGCTGGGGCCCGCCACATCTGCCGCATCAGCACGGAGCACAGCTGGGTGTGCCCAGAGCCACGCTCCCCAAAACGCAAAGTGGTGGTGGGGGGCCAAGGAGACCCCTAGAGACCTGAGACAGACACACTGACACCTCTGCCAATAGACACACTCCTCAAAGCACAGCTACACCCACCAACACACGCTCCCTCGCTCCCTCGTGTGCAGAGACAGAGAACTGGCAAACACGCAATTACCCAGCCCCGCCTGCCACCCCCGCACCCCTCCTTCAATCTCCCTCCTTCCCTTCTTTCCCTCTGAGGCTGCTTTCTGTCATCAAAGCCACCCTCTGAACTGCCCTGGGCTCTGGCCTGGAGAGAGCAGGTGCCTCGCCAGCCCCAGGCACCCCTTTCTGGGTGGGCAGAGGGTGGGAAGGGGCATCTGGGATGCAGCCTGGGAAAACACTTGCTGTCCTTCCAAGTCTACACCTTCCCAAACTTTGATTCTTGCTACAGCCTGGTCGTGATGGGGTCTCTATTCCAGAGCAGAGGATTGGACACTTTTGACCAGTTGTAGGGACACGCCTGTGTTTCGCTGGCAACCTCAAAGAGGTGCTGTGTGCTCTTCCCTCTCCAGCCATCAGCTCAGCCATGGCCTCCCAAGGCAGGCCTTTGCCACTCCGTGCACCCCCTCCTCCCTCCAATAATCCCGCCATACTGTGTGCCCTCTGCAGCAAATCCCTCCTTTTAGCTCTGCTGCCCCTGACATGCCGGGCGTGAGGGCTCCATCAATGGCAGAAAAGAAGTCCTCCCCACAATAGATGATCAAGACTCCCTTCTTGGCTGCCTCTCCCAGTTAATGATGGCATCCTGGTCTCTGGCTAAATCCTGCCCTCCACAGCCCTTACACGCACCCCTCATCTTGTCCTGGTGTGTTGCCCCCAGCCCCCTCCTCTCTGCCTCTCCCCATCTCACAACCCCCCCCCCCCCATGCCCCTCAGAGCTTTAATCCCTCCTGCTTGCTGTGCAGCCTTATCTGCTCCCAGCAGCTTTCGCTGCTGTAAAGCCCTCTCCCCCTCCTCCTCGGATCTTCTCCCTCCTTCCTGGCTCTCGCTTGTCTCTGACCAGCGTGTCTGCCCCCCCCCCCCGCCCCCAGCCTCTCTCCTACTCCAGCCCCTGTCGGGCCCTGGGCTGACACCCAATCTGTGCTCCAGCACCCTTTGTCCGCTCTAGCTTCCTTTAGAGGCTGTGGGCTGTCCATCCACTCCCCAAGCCCCTCTCCCACCCCAGCCCTCTCCATAGACCCTATGACTTGGTCACTTTCTGGCCAGCCAGCATTTATATCTCTTCTTTCTGTCCTCCCCTTCCTGGTCCCCTCCTCAGTTCCTCCTGATACCCCCATTGTGGACCTGCCCCCCTCCAGTCCTGGTGACTCATGGCCAGAGTGCCTGAGTGGGACTGCAGGTTTCAATACAAGACAGAGGAAAGGGCTGGGCTGCCCCGAAAAGGTCTAGGGTGGGGGTGAAGGGCACCAGCAGCAGTGGGGGCAGGGCCTGCCGGTGGGACACTAACCCTCTTCAGTTGCCTCAGATCACGTCCTGGGCCTCCCCACCCCCCTTTGCAGGGACTCTCATTAACCGCTTCTCCTGCCTCGTCCGCAGCATAAATAACCCAGATAAATCAGCCGCCGTCCGCCCCCCGCCCCTCGGCCCCCGTGCACAGCCCGTTTGTCACCGCCGCTTGCTCACCAGCCAGGCCTGGCCTGCCCCACCCCATCCTTGTCCCTTCCCACCCATGTGTGTCCCACACTGGTTGCCACCCCCCCCCCCCCCCCCGGCCTGGTCAGCACCAGCAGCAGGTTTCTGGGCTGGGAAAGGTAGTAAAGGGTTGTCCCCTGGGAACAGGAGGCTGGGGACTGTGGGGAATACTGTCTAGAAGGTCAGGGGCCATGTAAAGAGATCGTGTAGAAGGGTCACAAATAGAGATAGCCAGGCAGTGAGCTTGCTGTCCACACACAGTGGGGGGGGGGCGGTTAAATGCGGTTCAGCTTGGGGGTTCTAGCTGTTGAGAACAGGACTCCCTTAGGATGCCATCAAGTTGAATCCTGGGAGATCTCCCAGCTCTTCTTTTGGGACAAAGGTTTTTATTTGCCCAAAGAACCGCGCCCCCTGTGCTTCCTCCCAGGTGCTCAGAGTCAGAATGATCCTGCCCTCACCGTCCCCCACCTCCCTGCCCCCTTCCCCTCATTCTCAGTCCTGTTGTCTAATCTCTGCCTCCTTCCTTACCAGTCTACCACTTTCTTGTGGTCTGGAAGCCTAGCTCTTTCCTTGGCAGTAGGGGGAATGGAAGTGGGTAAAGAATTGATCTGAGAAGTCTGGGGACAATTGGCGGGGGTGGGGGGGCAGAGCCTGGCTAAGGCTTTACTCCCTGACCATACAGCAACCCCCTTCCCCACACAACCAGCTCCAGGGCCCTAAACAGCAGCAAGCTTTGCTCACATCTGGCTGAGGTCCTGACCAGCTCCCCTGAGTCCCAATGCTTCCCGGCAAGGGGCAGCTGGCCCCCTGGGAATGGATGGGGGGGACAGGCAGGGGCTGGGGGAGCTTGGGCGCAGGGCTTGGGGGTGGGGAAGAAGCTGGGCTGGGCCCCAGGGACCAGCTGGGCAATGAGCCGGGGAAGCAGCCGGGAGGCTAAATGAGGGAGATTATCACCCAACTGCAGCCGGGCAGAGAGCGATGCAGGCAGGGAAGCAGGGAGAGGAAAGAGAGGGGATGGGGGACCAGAGACGAAGGGGGTGTAGAGGAACAGGAAGGAGGTCAGAGGAGGAGTGGGTGGTAAAAGCCAAGAGATGGACTGAAAGGATGTGGGGGGAACCCCCCACTGAGCATAACCAGATAACTGGAGGTCTGGGAGA